CATGACTTTGTCAAGCAGAACAAGACTCCGGATTTCAAAGGACAATATGAGAAACTGTAACATGATTGGCCAAAATTTGTGAAGCAAAAGAAATCGGAGCAGTTCATTCAAATATCGAAAAAAATAAGGAAAATGCGGCTAAGAAGGAGTACAATCATATTATGGGGCCAGGAGGGTATCGCCTTTGGGAGCCTAGGTGGGAGAAGATGGAGAACGAGCTGAGGGCGCGAGGAATCCGTCCAGGTACGGAGGGATGGGACCCAAGGGCCAAAAGCTGGTGGTACGGGCATGGGGGAAAGCTGAACCCGGAGACAGGGGAGTGTGTTTACCGGGGCAAAATAATTAAACCCACCCAAGCCCTTATTGACGCAATGAGGGATGCTCAAGAGGGGAAGATCAAGTTCAACAGAGAGAACGACGCGCTGACAAAAGCCCTCGGGAATCCTGAACACGGAGGACGTGTACGAGGCATGGGGCACATTCCGTGGAAAATAGGGTTCCCCCAGAACGATGACCCGTACGGTTACAGAAGCCGGAAGAGAAAGATGGATCGGGAAGCAGATGTTGTGGCGCGGTTGGCATCGGAAATGGATGTGATGAAGAAAACTGTGAGTGTACTAGTAGCCGAAAGAGATGCAGCTCGGGCGCAGCATGAAGATCATCCAGCGGATCTCAGAAGCCAGCAGCGGAGAAGCAGTGTGGCTTCCACGGAGGCCCCACCGGCTGGTGCAGATGCACCGACGATCGAAATTACTGCACCGGAGCCTCTGGTGGTCGAAATTACTGCACCGGAGCCTCTGGTGGTCGAAATTACTGCACCGGAGCCTCCTCGCTACCCCGTGGACGATATAAAGGAGATGAAAGAATGTCATCTGTATTATCCTATCGGGAACTTGTCCATGAAGGTAGCCATCGGCAGTGCTTTACCATGTTTACCTGGAGCACTCCACCACAACAACCCCATTCAAGATGGCTATGCTCGTGTCACGGTGGAGGACATAGTCCAAGGGTTTGAGGACCTGGAGATTGACATTGCTACACCTGAAGGGGAGAAAAGACTTGGAGATGTCAAGCGCCATTTCATTCTATGGCAAAAGAAGTTTATCAAGTTTCCAGGCGAGGCGCCAAGGACAACAAGTCCACCCCCCTACGGTGGTGGCGGTTCACCTACACCTCCGTCACGTCAGCCGACGCCCCCCAGTCCACAACGTCCGGCGGGTGATCAGACGCCGCCCCCCAGTCCTCGTCCGGCGGGTGATCAGACGCCGCCCCCCAATCCACCTCCGGCAAAGAAGCAGAAGCAGTCCTGGATTATTAACCCGGACCCTTATGTACCTAAGACCACAAAGGTACCGGAGCCATCACTGAAGCCTCTCCCCACAAGGCCTTGGGAACGTAGTGCCGAGGAAACTGCCGCGGCCGCGGCTGCTGATCATGAGAAATGGAAGGCGGACTGCAAGAAGAAAAGAGAGCCTGAGCCCAAGCCAGTATTTTCTGATGAGCAAAAGAAGTGGGCTAAGTCATTTTTGAGCACACCGTCCCAAGCCGCGAAGAATCTGCCTGACGACTATGCACGTGAACTTCGTAGGCAGGCACTCATGTTGAAGGAGAAGAAAGAGCGGGCGGAGAACCAGGAGAACAAAGCCTTGGAGGAGGCCGAGAAAACGGAATTAGAAAGTAAAAAAAGCGGGAAACGAGTTGCCCAGCTCGGGGAACAAAGTAAACAATCGATTGCCCTGCTTATAGTGAAAGCCGCCGGTCCGGATGACCCCGATATCATAGCAGCTGCGGCAGCACATGGATTGACTGTAACGAGTGCCAGAGAACAAGCGGCCAACTTAGGTATTACTCTTCGTGAACTGTTAGGCCTTGATGAGGCGCCAGTGAAGGAGGTAGTAATTACATATGTGAAGAATGGGCCTCTCGTCGAGCCTGCGCAGGAAGAGGATCTACCTCCATAAATGAAAGGTCTGCTGAAATGGTACAAGGGTTACATAAAAAATAAAAACGCCAAAGAATATATTTATGCGGAAGTTAGATATGAGCATCACTTCAAACATTACTATGTACAAATTCATCTGAGTGAATTGTTCCAGCTTTTCAATCTGCGCGAGCTCGACAAATCTATCATCAGTTGCTACGTTCTGTAAGTGATTTATTTCTACCCCATCTCGTTCATATTGCCTGCACTATATATATGTCCTAACTATATTGTTGTGTCCGCTATTATACATGCAGAATGAAGATTAAGGAATGCAGAGTAAGGAACATCCATGATGTTGGGTTCATTGACCCACACATTGTTAATGGATATGTGTTGGAGCATCACCCCGCCGACATGGAGGCAGACCTGTGGCAGTTTCTTACAAAGCAGGAACTCAAAAGTGATATTCTATTTCCTTACCATTTTGGGTGAGTGTTTCTGTCTTGAGCACATTCTCTTTTATTTACTCCATGCATGGTATGTGGCCGGCTAATCGATGAGTTATGCATGACGTACTGTGCATGTATCGTGTCCGCAGGTTCCACTGGATTCTGCTAGTAATTAAAGTTGACACCTCAGAATGTCTCGTCCACGACTCTCTGAATAAGGATCCAAAGCTTTGGGGCGACATGAGAAGAATGCTGCAGAAGTAATTATTTTCATTCATTTGCGCTCTATATCGATCGGCCTATTTCGTTCATTTCCTAATATCAAGTAACTAATAACTCTCTTGTTCATTTAATTTTCTTTGCCTCTTAGGGTTTGGAGATGGTTCGTGGATACAAAGGTCGGTGAATTCAAAAAAGAGCTAGAATTCAAAAGGTCAAAGGCTAAGAATGGTGAGGATATTCAGCCAGCGGGGACCAATCTATGTGCATACTATGTCTGTGAGATGATGCGGAGATACACCTCTGAGCGGGTTCCGAGTGATACCAATGCTCAGAGGAATAACCTCCGGATGATGCTTAGTCCAGAAGCTCGCTTCCGACCACTTCAAGAGGAACTAGCTGGATGGTTCAGGAGGGAAGTCCTCCATCCTAAAGGAGAACACCATTACGAGGACGTAGAACTTTATATGCATTAAATTATGTATGAAAACTTGTTCAAAATTGTATATGGTCATCCGATGATATTGAATATATATTGTATATTCCTCTTGAATTCTTTTTGGTTCTAATTTCAAATTTGTTTGAAATTGTACATTCATATGCATGTATGTAGTACCGTAGAATATGTGAAACTCCTTCAAAATTAAAATAAAGCACAAAAGAAATAAAACAATACAAATTAAACAGAAAACAGGTTTAGGGGGGGCTAAAACCCTAAACCTGCGGCGGCCTTTAGTCGCGGTTGGCCAGAAGAACCGCGACTAAAGGTCCTCCGCCCCGACGGCCGCCTGGCGCCCACGTGGACGGGCCTTTAGTCGCGCTTCTTAAGCAACCGCGACTAAAGGGTGGGGCCTTTAGTCGCGCCCGTTCGGTCGCGGTTGCGCAACCGCGACTAATGGCAGTTGCGAACCGCGACCAAAGGCCCTTTTTCCACCAGTACAAGGTGGTGCCAGCGACGGGATGGCGTTGGCGATCGACGGCGGTGAGGACGAGGATGGGAAGTCACTAAGTAAAACACATCTACACATATGCAAACTAAGAAGTTAATTTGAGCTCAAATTGCATATAAATCAAATAAACTCCCACATAATTACTCCCACACTAAAACCGACAAATCACTGTACTTATAGAGCACGAAACGAGCTAAACTAGCAACAAGATATGAAAGAATGAAGTTGCTAACCTTTTAGAACCCTTGGATAGATGGAGTGCCTTAAATCTTGAAAATCTTGGCAAAAATGGAGGATGAACTCGAGCTAGGGTAAGGAAACAGAGAGGAGAGAAAGGAGAAAGTTTGGACTCGGGCTAGACAAAGCATCTATATATAGGGATATCTTTAGTCCCAGTCGATATCACCAACCGGGACTAAAGGTCTATCTCTAGTCCTAGTTGGTGATACCAATCGGGACTAAAGGGGCCCAGCCTGCCGCCACCCCTTTAGTCTCGGTTGGTATCGCCAACAGGGACTAGAAGTCCCATATGAACCGGGACTAAAGGAGATCGTGCCCCCATACACTCCTAGCCGTTGGAACCGGGACTAATGTTTACATTAGTCATGGGCTCAAACCCAGCCGGGACTAATGCTCTGGATCAAAGATAGGTTTTCTACTAGTGAAAAATAAACAATTAAATATAAATACATAATATCCATAAATAAAATTTATTAATATTTTTGAAAGTTTAGTAATGTTAATGCAATCCATTTGTTGATAAAGCAAACAATTCAAATAGTTGGACATGTTTTTTTGAACTAATTTTATATGATATACACAGTATCATACTATGAACTACATAAGAAACATGTGCTTTTGAAAAATGTGCTATTTTAAGCCACACCTCAAAGGAATGTGATTTAATAACTATTTTGCACTCTCTTAGAACTTTTGTTAATGTTTCTCCCAAAAAATAGAATTTTTGAAAAAAAATGATTTTTTTTCGATTTTACTGTTCACCAAGCTCATTTGAGTTCAGGAGCAGAAAAGCACTTTCGATCAAGACCTCCATTTTTTAGATTCGAGTGGTCAGTTTTTTTTCTGAAGATAGTGTAGTGATCAGCTTTTCATTTTTGTCGGGAGGGAAGTGCAGTGGTCAGCTGGAAGCACAACTCCCCAAAAGAGAAAACCGTCTGTAGGACGGAAGCCCAAGTCAGCCCATCTTATCGTATTTTCTGCAGCTCGGCCCGTCTTAAGATTGATGGTTCCGCCATCCACCCGGCGCCCATGTTCCTTCCGAGCCGTGTACCTGGTTGCTCGATCTGACCGGAGCAACTGACGCGCGCGCTCCCCGCCACGCCAGTCGCCCGAAGGATCCACCATCCGCCACCTTCGGCGGCTCGCCGGAACCCAGAGCCCTCGCATCACGCCGTCGCAGTCTCAGAACTCCGGTGATCTGGCTCCATCCGCCAGCCGATGCCGCCCGCGCCGCCGCTCCGGTGCCGCCTCGTGCTCCCGCTCGCCGCCTTCGTCTCCGTTCCGTTCCTGCTCCCACTCACCCTCCCCCTCCTCCTCCTGCTCCGCCCCTCTGCCACCTCCCCGCACGCCCTGTCCTCCCACCGCCTCTCCTGGCTCCCGTCCATTCGCGTCTCGCATCCGTCACCACCGCCACGGACGGCACGAACGCCAACCCCGCCGGCACAAGCGACGTCGTCACCTTCTCCACCGCCGCCGCGGCCGCTGACACAGACGGCGTCACCTCTCCCACGTCCCACACCGCCGCCCAAGGCAGCCGATCGCGAGAAATCCGAACGGTGCGACATCTACGACGGGACGTGGGTCCCGGACGACGACGAGGAGCTGACGCGGCCGCTGTACGCGCCGGGCACGTGCCCGTACGTGGACGAGGCATACGCGTGCGCGTCCAACGGGCGGACGGACGACGGGTACACGCGGTGGCGCTGGGCGCCGCGCCGGTGCCGGCTCCCCAGGTTCAACGCGACGGACCTGCTGTGGAGGCTGCGCGGGCGGCGGCTGATGCTGGTGGGCGACTCCATGAACCGGAACCAGTTCGAGTCCATGCTCTGCATCCTCCGGGCGGCGCTCCCCGACAAGTCGAGGATGTTCGAGACCCACGGGTACCGGATCTCCAAGGGCCGCGGCTATTTCGTCTTCAAGTTCCAGGTAAACTCCATGGCGAAGTCGTCAATCGATCAAACTCCAGTGGTCGAAGGTTGAACGATGGATTCTTGTAGAATTTTGACTGCACGGTGGAGTTCGTGCGGTCACATTTCCTGGTCCGGGAAGGGGTGCGGCTGAACCGGCATGGGAACTCTAACCCGACCCTCCAGATCGACCGAATCGACAAGACGGCCGGTCGGTGGAAGAAGGCCGACGTCCTCGTCTTCAACACCGGCCACTGGTGGACGCACGGCAAGACCGCCAGGGGGTACGTCACGTACCGCCGGAGATTCCATTGATTTGCTCCTCTTCAGCAGGCTCAAATCATCGATCGATAAAACAGTAGATGAACAACTAATGTCAATAATTGCGTGCAGCACCAACTACTACATGGAAGGCGACACGCTGTACCCCCAGTTCAACTCGACGGAAGCCTACCGGAGAGCCCTCAGGACATGGGCGCGGTGGGTCGACAAGAACATGGACCCCAACAAGAGCCTCGTCTTCTACCGGGGATACTCGATGGCGCATTTCAGGCACTGATCACAATTAGAACTTGGTTCTAGCACACATGTTTCAGTTCGAGCTGGATCTGACGAGTTCTAGCACACATGTTTGCCGTCGCCGGCCGCGGCGGGATGCAGGGGAGGGGAGTGGGACTCAGGCGGGTCGTGCAGCGGCGAGACCGAGCCGGCGTTCAGGGGGTCCGTGGTGGACAGCTGCCCGGAGAAGATGCGGATCGTGGACGAGGTGGTGGCGCGGATGCGGTTCCCCGTGCGGCTGCTCAACGTCACGAGGCTCACCAGCTTCCGCAAGGACGCCCACCCGTCGCTCTACGGCATGGCGCCGGACAAGAGGAGGAACGTGTCCAAGAGGAAGCAGGACTGCAGCCACTGGTGCCTCCCCGGCGTGCCCGACGCGTGGAACGAGCTCATCTACGCGTCGCTCGTCTTGGAACCCAACCCCAGCTCATGGGACAAATCATAGCTAGTAGATGAGATCATGCATGAGAATGAGATACACATCACATGAGCTTGTAAATTAAAGAGGTAAATACATTAGAGGTGCCTAAACTTGTCCGGGGCGGTCACTTTAGTGTGTAAACTTGCAAAATGTCAAAAACTGGTGCCACAACTTGTCCATTTGGTGCATATACGGTGCCTCGCTCGTACGCCGCCGTATTTGCTTGCCGCGTGGCCTGACATCTCGCTCCGTATATGCATCAAATGGACAAGTTGTGACACCATTTTTTGACATTTTGCAAGTTTAGGCACTAAAATGACCGCCTCGGACAAGTTTAGGCACCTCTGGTGTATTTACCTCTAAATTAAATTGTCCACAAAAACTTATTTCGCTCCGCTTATTATATGAATATAAAAGCAACCAATCAGTTCAAACAACGAGTAGGACAGTACCGAAATATATAGAAGGTCTGCTAGGCCAGAACACAAGCAAGCCCAAAAAATCAAAAAGAAATACCACCGACTGACCACAACATCATGGGGTAGTCGACGGGGTGATGCCGCCCGCTGTGTCATGTCACGCATCCAACATCTGCCCAAGCCTGTCACCGTCCCGATGTTCAACCAGCGGGTGCCAGCGCTGCAAGAATGCGAGAAACTTGAAGAAAGAGTCATATGCCCGTCGAAGGAAGATCCGCTCAATCATCATCTTATTACGCGTCGTCCAAAGTGTTCAAGTTAGAGCCGCAAAATCTAGCCAGAAGAGTCGCATGGTCCTCCCTATCTGCGTAGCTCTGGTCTGGAGGAAGTCGGCTAGGTCGTGAGATTCCCAATCCGGGCCTACTGCCTCACGCACAAAGCTCCAAAGCACCTGAGATGCCATGTAAGAGAAGAGGATGTGGGTTCCCCGTTTCCGCAACCCCACAAAGGGGAAATAACCCATCACCCGGGCCGTGCCTCTTGAGCACCTCCATTCCTGATCGGAAGCGATCCCTCAGCAATTGCCACACAAATTTCGGACCCCGATAACAACCAAACGGTCTGTCTAGGAGCTCCCCGGAGCGAACTATTCGGGAAGGACCATCGATCGGAACAAATGATCTTGTTCGATCCCGGAAGGAGACCACACCGAATGATTACTTCTCCCGGCCTATTTCTACTGGCCCAACAGGCACGAATCCAACCGGCCCAAAAAAATGAAAAAGGCCACAATTCAACAGGCACGAGTTGAGCCTGGCTTCATGATTAATGGAAAAAACTGGGGGGAAATGGCCATGTTAAATCAGGGAAACTACTAGAAATTTCAACAAATTGCGATGTTCTATGCTCAATTTCCCATCTCTCGACATTTTGAACAAACTTGTCAGGTTCTACTCGTGAGTTCGACATGAAAGTACACTAAATAATACGGCAAAATATACTAAAAGTTGTTCAACAATTTGCCATGTTCTGCACAAAAAAAATGTCATGTTCTACTTAAATTTGCAATCTCCAAAACATTTTGTACAAAAAAAATTGCCATGTCCCATGGCAGCTAACAGAAGTGCATCTAGAGGTTTGTTTCATGGATTAGCCTATATTAAAAGGTAATTTTTGCCATGTCATTAAAAGTAAAATTGCACTGCTAGAAAAATAGTAAAATTTTCCATGGCAAAAAAAGAGTAAAATTTTGCCATGGTAAAATAAAGTATAATTTACCATGTTATTAAAAGTAAAAATTGTCATGGCAAAAAAGGAGTAAAATTTTGCCAAGGCAACATAAAACATAATTTTCCATGTCATTACAAGTAAAATTGCCATGGAAAAAGATAGAGTAAAAATTGCCTTCGCAAAAAAGAGTAAAATTTTGTCATGGCAACATAAAGTATAATTTTCCATGTCATTAAAAGTAAAATGGCTGCAAAAAATAGAGCAAAAACTACCATCGCAAAAATAGAATGAAAATTTGCCACGCAAAAATGAAGTAAGTTTGGCATGGAAAATGAAGTAAAATTTCATATGATACTAGAAAAAGAGTATCAACTAAATTGCCATGGTCTAAATATACAGATTGCCATAGACCATAAACTAAATTAGTCATGGACCACAGACTAAATTTGCCATGGACCATAAGGTAAATTTGCCATGGTCCATAAACTAAATTTGTCATGGCAAAAAAGTATAATTTCCCATGTTATTAAAAGCAAAATTGCCTTGGAAAAAATAGTGTAAAAATTGCCATGGCAAAACAGAATAAAAATTGCCATGCAAAAATGAAGTAAATTTGGCATAGAAAATGAAGTAAAATTCATATCTAATACTAAAAAAGAGTATCAACTAAATTGCCATGTTGTAAATATACAAATTGCCATGGACCATAAACTAAATTTTGTCGTGGACCATGAACTAAATTTGCCATGGACCATAAGCTAAATTGTCATGGTCCATAAACTAAAATTGTAGAAAACAATAAATACACTGGCAAAGTAGCTCTAAAGTTTGCCATAACATGTGAATTGCCTTTGCCATGGTTAATTAACTTATATTGCAATGGCCCATAAGAAAAAGAAAACAGTTTGTCATTGTTAGAAAAGGAAAAAAAATGCAATTATGCATAAACTACAATTTCCATGCTTCCCAAACTTAAATTACCACCATACATAAACAAGAAAAAGGAAATTGACATGTTACATGAGGGAAAAGAAAACTTCAATTGTCCATCGAATTGAAGTTGTCGTTATTCCATAAAAGTGAATTTGTCATGGTCTATGAAGTGATATTTGCCATGCTCCATGTAAGTGAATTTGCCATGGTCTAGCATTTATATAATGCAATGAAGCTATGAATGATACTATTTGCCAACCCAAATTCATTCGTTTGGTGAGCTATTTTCATACACACACATGTATACACAAAACTTAACATGTACAAAAACATGGCCAAAATGCCATGAAAAGATTGTTAAATTCCAAATCAACAAATAAAGGATTTCTCCGTGGCAAAAAATGGCACGTGTAAAAAAATGGATCCATGACACATCTTGAGGCATGGCAAAAATAATAACAAAATTGTACTACTTGTTTTTACCCTAAAACATGTCTAATTTTCCATGGGAAACAAATTTGGATACATGCCAGAACAAGAAAAAAATGCATGACAACATTTTCTAGTCAACCCATGGAAATTTTGCCCAATTTCATAACAAGGCAATGTAGACAGAGGGGGAATTAGATGAAATGAACACATGAAAACACGATGGTAGCGAGAGGACCAACATAATCTACCCTCTCAGCCAGGGCTATGCCCGTCCGATGGCTTGTTGTGGTTTCCCAAGACGTCGATGAACACGTAGGGTGACTCGGGATCTTCGGGCCAACGACCTTCCCCTGCTTCTCGCCGCTCCTCCTCCGCAAGGAGCACTCGACATCCACTATGACCATCTAGTGTGCACTTGCAGGAAGCAGACCCCAAGTAGAGAGAAAAGAGTGGGATAAGAGAGGGGACAACCTCTAGGTGAGAATTACCTGGAGCCGTGCCTGCCGATGCCGCCGGCGAACCACCATTGTCGTTATTGCTGATGATGAACCCTACGAGGAGATGCCCCGGGTCTGGCCTTCGAATCCCGTGGGGAAATTTGTTGGGGCCACCGAAGAATATGTGGGGCCGACATCACAACAGCAGAGCTAGCGGCGGCCGACCGGACCGGTGTCCGCTGGAGCAAAGGTACCTGCGGCCCACCCATTCGACGCGGCAGGGGAGGGACAACCATCGGGTCCCTGAGCACCATCTCAACGGATGGGTTGTCGGGGTGGGCGAAAGGGGGTGGGAGTCGCCGGAGCCGCCGCTTTGAGAAAGAGAAAAAAGGGGATCGGGAGGAAGTGGGGGGAAGAAGACATACCGAGTGTGGGAGTAAAAATGGTTTGGGTTGAGGTTGGACTACACGGAACGCTAAGAACATGACGTGGCAGTGCACCCGCGGCAAGATTCGTGAATACCATCCGATAGTGCTTGCAGCGTTCGGGATGAGATTCAAAAGGAAAACATTTGGGAACGGCGAGCCGGCGGAACGCTCGGGCCGGTCGCGTGTGGAGCGTGCGATCCTTTTGTGATCAGCGTTCCACTTTGCGTCATGTCACCTCCGAGTGGCCCACAAACTGTCCTATTCCTTTATCTCTTTCTTCCTTATCCCTAAGCACTGTGCTTTCTCCTCCATTACTTTTTCTCTAGTTCGTCTTCCTCTGACTCTCTCTCGTCTCTTCTCTTCCTAGCGGCTCCGTGCTGCAACTACGGTCAAGCCGCCATATCCCAGCGAACCTGCAAGGCGCACAACCAACACCTTCTTCCTCTCCGGTCTCCCTCACCTCCGGCCTACAACGGCCAGGCCCGTATGGCAGGTAGGTGCAGCCTATGCGATGGCACATGGCCCCTAAAATTTTGGGGCCCCAAAACATATCTTAAATGGCAATAAATAGTATTAGTCAAGGGAATATCCAAGCAACACTTCATCTCCTGTAAAACATTCCAAGTACCAACGCTAGCCAGTTCCAAATTCCAATGCAAGCCACTACAGAAACACAAGTGCACGCCTTTCTCTTGACCTCTCTGTCGACTTAAGTAACTACTCCGTCCCACAATATAAAACATTTTTATAAGCTACAAATCACCGCTAAGGTGGATTATTATTGGGAAGATTATGTTTATAGTATGCTAAATATATAATAAATCATCCTTCCGTCCCAAAATATAAGACATTTTAGCAAGCTATGTTAGTTTACAAAACGTCTTATATTATTAGACGGAGGGAGTATTTTCTATCTAAAGGGCCTCATTTCGTGCTATTTTGCACCGGGCCTCTGAATTCTCAGGTACGGCCCTGACAACGGCTATGTAGGGATGCTGGGAACGGTGGTGGCGGGATGCTGCGGCCACATGCTTCAACTACGGCCGTCGTATTCCGGCGAAGATGCAAGGTGCCGACGTGCTGCATGGAAATGCTACAACTGGCTACAACGGAGCTACAACATGCACTTGGTAGAGCTGCCACCG